GAAAGCAGCAGGCCTGGCGGGAGCCCGGGAGCACACGGGGGAAAGGGGATTTCCTCCTTGCCCTTTTCCAATACGTGTAGTAGACAGAGGCGCGCCGGCGCGGGCATCCTCCGGGGGCACGTGTGCGGTACCTGCGGGTGCCGGGCAGCGCCGCGGAGCCTCCGCGCCCGGGGCCGTGCGGGCGGAGCTCCGCGCCCGCGGCCCCGCCGCCCACTTGCCATGCGCTGCCCGCAGCCCTGCGCGGCGGCGGGGGGAGCCGGCGGCGGCGGCGGCCCGGCCCGGCCCGGCCCGGCCCGCCCAGCACAGGCGGCGGCCGCCCTGGGGTTTCCCCCGTCCGTACCGCGTCTCTCGGCGCTGCGGGGGTTGAGGCGGGCGCGGCGGCGGGGGAGGAGGGAGGGGAAGGGAAGGGAGGGGGGAAGGAGGAGCCGCCGCCGCTGTGGGGCGGGCGGGTCGCACACACACACACACACACGGACACACACACACAGACACTGGCACAGCGTGAGGAGGAGGAGGAGAAGGAGGAGGAAGCAGCCTCGGCGCCTGAGGTAAGGGCGGCGGGAGCGGCCACCATTGAGGCGGGGGGAACGGGGGGCGGCCGCGGCTCTGTCCGCGGCTTCGCGCCCTTGTCGGGGAGCGGCGCTGCCCGGGCCCCCCCCGCGCCGGGCCGTAACCTTGGGCTCCCCCGGCCGCGAGGGACGGGCGCGAGCGTGTGGGGCCCCCACAAGCGCGTGGGGCCGCCGGACGTGCGGGGCTGCCACAAGCGTGTGGGGCTGTCACCTGTGAGGGTCTGTCAGCGCCGGGTCCCTCACATCCGTGTGGGTCTGTCACACACGGGTGTGTGCCACATAGGTGTGCCTGCGTGCCATCCCCCGTGCCTGTGTGTGACACACATGCAGGGCTGTGCACACACACGGGTGCCGCGTTCACGCGTGTCCGTGTGCTCCATGTCAGGCTCCGTGTGTGGATCCCTCTGTGTGTGGATCCCGCTGTGTGTGCGCCTGGCGGCTGGAGTCTTCCCCTCATCCTCGCTGCTGTAGTTTCTGAGTGTATCCGGATTTTGTCAGTGCTGGGCGGTGTGACAAATGTTTCTGTGTAGTTAAGTATAACTTTCTTGCAGTGGGTTTTTTTTTTCCTTCCTTTTTTTCCTTTTTTTTTTTCCTTTTTTTTTTTTTTCCGCTGGGAGGAAGGCAGGCTCACCTTTGAAGATTGTTTGTTTTCTTTTATATATATCCAAAGGTCTCTGGGGATACAAGTGCTCCTGTTGCCTCTGTCTGTGTGGTTATAATTTACAAGTCGTTTTTAAATCACTTAGTGGTAATTTTCAAAGCAAGGTGCAAAAGCAATGTTTCCATTTCCATTCCACAGCCATTCCAAGGCTGTGCACTGTATTCCATGCACAACTTTGAATTATGTGCAGTCAGACACCTGTTACTTAATCCTGTTTATCCTTTCCAGTTACAGTTATCCAGCCTTGTCTTCTTTTTTTTTTAATATCTCAAAATAAATTACGTAAATTCTTTTATGCTAGCATCTAGTAGAAACCCAAGGATCTAATGCGCTTGTGAGGTATTTAATGTGTGTTTGTTAGGTAATACTTTCTCAAAGGGGGATGATTTTAGAAAGTTACAGAATAATCATTATCTCAGGGGGAGTTTATATAATTTTAAAGTGTCCATGGGGATACATCTGTAGCAAAGGTGGATGGTAGGGGCTACATGGTATAAAATCTTACACATGTGCATCATCCTCTATTAATACGTAAATAATATTTGTGTTTCTCAAACTTCACTTGCTGTTACACCATGGAATTTTCAGTTTAATAATTGGTGTTAACGAGGGTCCTTGGGAAAACGTCGCGTTTTGGATCCTGCAGGAGGACGGAGCAGATTCTTTTATAACACGTTTGTGCTCAGGGTTGTATTTTGGAGTTTGCATGAGCAGGGTTAGCAAGCTGATTCTACTCACTTCAGGTTAAGCTCTCCAACTTCTGGAATTGTTATGGCCACAGTATTTGCAGGCTTTCAGGAGATCAAGGGTACCTAATAGTGCCGTGTACCACAAAATAATTATTGTTATACACAGCCGAGCAATTTCGTGTTGTACAGAGACGGTTCCTAAATACGAGTTGAGAACAGATTTATTCCTCCCTGCAACTGGTAACTTCACGAAGTAATTAAAAATAAATTACAGAGCTCTAGGATGAGAATTCTCTTCCACAACCATTAGTACCAGTGTGCCTACACGTGTCAGTTTTGATTCATCTCTTGATGATAGCACTAAAAACCAGGTATTGATAGGAAAGTCAAACCCCTGGTGAAAATATAACTGCGTGGCTGTCAAAATAAAATGTGAGGATCTGATTTGATTGCTGGCTGTGGATATGCACTTGGTAGAGTAACAATGCTTTTTGTTTTAAAGACATGCACCCACGCACAGGAGCTTTGTTCTAAAATAGTGCTTTCTGTCATGGATTTATGCATAACTTACAGTCACAGCTTTTTCTTAGAATGCAGGGGAGACAGAACCTTGAAGGGGAAGAAACACCGAAAGGGGCAGGAAAGAGAAGTGAATTGAATTGTTTGAATTTCCCTTACTGTCAGAGGAAATACTTCTTTGTTATGTTTCACACAAAATACTGTGTTGTTTTCACCTTTTCAAAAACAATGGCGAGTTGTTTGGGCTTGATATACTCTGCTGACTTCTGTTGCAGCCTTTGGGCATTTGTTCCAGTAATATCTGGCTGTGATGGTGAACTTGGGGCTGTGCTGGAAGTCTGTCAAGTATTTGTTACAGCTGTGTAGGAACTGATGGCTTCATTTTCACCAGGCTTAGGTATACTGTGCTGAAAACTTGCAGGAATATAAGTTTTGTGCTTACCGAAAGGACTTGTTTTATATTTCTGTTTCATTTTTTATCATGTCATTTTTGTGGGCTTTTCAAATTCTTCAGTGATTTGCGTTCCTTGGTGGTTTTAACAGCTCAATTGCTATTCCTTCCTCTTTGTAATTTGCCAGAGACTGAAGTCTGAAACTGCTGTTTTAATATTTTCCTTAAAATCGAATTAATCCCTTTTCTAGAGGAAAGGGAGGAAGGGACAGAGGATTTTATGAGGATTTTAGAAATGAGAACCAAAACTTAATGCAGGCATCTTACCTAGGAGAGACTACTTATGAAAATTGCACCTCATTGATTTCGGGGAAGGCTGGTTTCCTCTGTAGTTTCAATCATCTGTCCCATTAGATTTTGGGAAGTGTTGTAAATTGGTTTAGAAGTGAAATTTTCCAAGTCATAAAATCTCTGGTTGGTTGTTAGTGGAAATCATTACGAAGGGTTGCATAAGCATTATTTGTAGGATGGCTAATCAGCAGCCTGGGCTTAGTTCCATTCTCTAATAAATAGATGCATTGTGCTACTTCAAAAATTGCAAAATTGATGGCTTGAGTACATTTACTAATTTTGCAGGATATGTAATGCATCTGGTTTGGGGAAGACTCTTTGATGTCTGCAGAAGTTGAACGCAGTGGAGGTGTTTATGATCCAGCCTGTTAACTCTTCAAAAGTTTTTTTGATTATACTATTTAGGACATCTTATTCTTATGAAAGATTCATGAATAGCACCACATCAAAATTACCTATGTGCACGCATCAAAGGCTCAGATAAATTTTATTCGGGCAGGACTTTCTGGGAGCAGGTTTTGTGGTCCTCTTGCTCCTGCAGAAAAAGAATGTGATTTTTGGGCTTTGTATTCCAAAGAGCTGAAAGTTCAGTAAATATGGCTTATGAACCTGTGGAAAAAGACAAATTCCCAGCCATTCTGGAATGAATTAATTAGGCCTAGTAGTAAGTTCCTTGTTCCAGAAAGACATGATAATGTATCTGAGTGCCTGGAATGGGATGCCACAACATGGGAAACAGCATCAGAACAACCCTTTCCTCGCTGTCCTTGGACCACTGATGCCTGGAATCTGCAATTTTCAGGGCAAGATGCTCCCAAGCGGCTTCTGCCAGTCACAGAAATAGATGGTGCAGCACAACTGTGGCTAAGAGATTCCTCCCCAGCAGACTTTTGGGTGATGGGCTGCTGATGTCTTCCCTGCAGGGATCCTGGAGGAAAATCAGTACTTGCATTCCCTCCTTTTGAAGACCAACATCACCTTGTACTAGATAGTCAAGTGTTGTGGCTTCTTCTGTCAGTTTGCCTTACGAGTCATTCTACGTACCAGCCACGGAAAGAAGTATTTGTTAAACCTGTACCTGTGCAACAGCAGAAGAATCTTGTTTTTTGGAGAAGAAAACCTTCATCTTCCTCTCCTCTGGAGAGCCTCCTAGCTTAATATGAAGTCATGGTGTCCGGTTTCCCTTGTTACTGGTTTTGGCTAAATGGTATTTGTGCATGGCTATAATGTTTCCTTTCACCTTTGGAGTTCTCAGAAGCACGAGTCAGTCTCTCTGTGGATAAGAGCCTGTTCCTGGGGAGCAGTGAGGGTGTCCCTGAAAGGCTAGGTTAATGTAGTGTATCTGCTCCTGAAAAGGGAGAAGTACAAGGTATCCAGCTTTTGAGGTTACTTGTCTTTTGCACGGTGTAGGTTTCTGTGGCAGATGGAGCTATTACTTGGATCTCTTTGTGGTTTCCTGTTCTTTTCCATTGCCAGTCAGTGTTGTTAAGCTCAGTCGTGATGCTGTCCCACCTGTGGCTGATAGCTGATCATGGGACAGATAGACAATGGATATGGTGTGGAGCATCCCTTGTCCTCCCCTGTTTTATGACCACCTTGCAGGTGAATCCATAATCTGACTTTATGCAATTGCTCCATGCTGCCTGATAAAAAAAAAATCAATTCTACAACCCATAAGTGCTCCTAATTCCTCGTAGCGGGTCTCTCACCTTTCTTTATGCAATAGCCAGGGCTCAAAAGTACAGGTTAAGAAGTTGATTGGCAGCTGCCATACATCCAAAAGTAGGGCCTTGCTTTCCATGTTATACAGGATTTATAATTGTACCACCCTGAGGTCCTGCACCTGGAGAGCTGAGTTCTGTGTCTGATCTTTCCTCAAAATAAGAGCCTGTTCTTTCCCCAGTAACATAACTGGGAGCTTTAGGCAAACGAGGTGAGACAGCCTGTTAGGAATGTGCTCTATTGTAAGGTCTGTTTGTGGAGTGGTTGAAATTGGTGTTGCTGAAGTAAAGACGTGCCTTTGCCCTCTCCATTCTGAAAGAAACTGGTTCTGTTCGGTTGACTTTGGAGCTCTCAAATTTTAACTTCCTTTGTGAGTCAACCTTGCAACCTGGAAGACCTTGAGCAGATGTGCAACATTACAGAAGCTGGATTTAAAAGGGACTGTTCAAATTAAATCCTCTATGTTGTTCCTTCTCAGATGTTGTACCAATAGACCATTTACTGGAAAAGTCTTAATCTAGTCTTGGTATTTGTATTCCGTTGTGTTTTTTGTGCAACGCCATCTGAAATTATGAAGATAGAAAATTTACAAATATCATTGAGCTATCAAATAGTTACATAAAAGTAATTTATGTCTGCAGCTGGTCTAGCAATTTGCCAGCCAAGAGGGACTATATATTCAGCTTCAGAAATGTTTGGGTGCACTTTAGCAAGGAGGAAATGGGTATGAAAAAGGTGTTAAAGAGCAGGCTCTTTATTCTTGAAGTTACAGATAAATTTCCCTTTCTAACAATTTCTACATTTTGCCTGAGCACACGCACTCCTACAGACTGGAAGTAATCAGCCACGAGGTCAGTGACTAATAAAGGGGGCAAAAGAGAATAAGGACTTGAAAGGTTAATAAGGAGCATCTCTTGGATTCCAATGATCCAGAGTGTCCATGATCCTGTGAACACTGGTGATGTGGCAAACAGCAAGTAATAAGGGAGTTGTCTGAGATGTAAGCTGTGGTCTTGAATGAGAAAGGTCGGATGAAAAAACTTCTCATACCAAAGTGACATTCTTTTCCTCCTTGATCTTTCAAAACTCTACGAGTTTTTGTTCCCATTTTTCTACTCCTTGAACATATCAATTTCCCATGCCTAAAATCGCCATGTTTCTCACATTTGCCTTTTGGTTTTCTTTTTTGGGGATGGTCCACTGTTGATGTTGCTGCATGTGCTGTACTTGTTGTACGTACGGATGTTCTGTACTCTCCTCCCAGCCGAGGCTGGGAGCTGGATCCAGGGTGCTTGGCTCTGTCTCTGCCATCAGACTGCTGCTGCCACTGCTGAAAGGAAACAGAAGGAAGAAAGGAATTGATAGCTGCAGTGAGAGCCTGCTTGTGTTGAAATACACAAATTAGGATAATTCGTTCAGAATTCTTCTCGGTGAAGTGTGAGTTGAAATGGAATATGAACGCCTTATTGGGAAGTAGGAAATAAAGCCATGGTGTGGTTTCTTTGGCAAGGCTAACGTGATCTGTTGAACCCAACAGAACTGGTATAATTTTTTCTATGAAGGACTATGATCATGGAAAGAAAAGCATTTCTGAAGAAGGCAGGGAGAGAGGCTGATGAATTCTCAGTAGGTTTGTTTGCAGAGGTGAGAAGGAAGCACAGATCGGTTAAAGAAGAGGTTGGGTAGCATGCATGGTGTGGTGACTGCAAGGCAGGCAGAGGCTGTTGGATGATTTGATTTTACTATTTGTTTTTCAGATATAGTTCTTGAGGATTAGTGCAGATTAATTGGGTGCTCTGGTGGATTTGGAGAGCTGTACTGCATGTCTGACATCAGCAAAGAATAGAGTGAGTAATTATTGCTTTCTGGTCTTTCAGCCTGTGTTATTTGTGTACTGCTTCTCTAGCAAAAGATGCTTAGGAATAGTTGTCATACATTAAATGACAAGGGAAGATGGAATGTGGTCGCAGGTATATCAGAGCAGATTGCAAATGAGCTGCTGCAGTCTGGAGCTGTGAGTTGCAGGTAACGCGGATACTTTGGCACCCCTGCTTGCCTTGTCGTTTTCACACTGGAAATCTCCTGTATCCGCGGATGCTGCAGGTGCGGTGGAGCTCTCGGAAATTCCCCTCAGCGTGTCTGCCATCCCTCACATGATGCGCTTATCTGCTTTGATTGGAGAATCCCCGGGCTGGAGGAGAAGGTGGGGGCTTCGAGGGGCGGGGAGCGATGTGACCTGCGAGAACAACCGAGGGCTCAAATAGGGCAGCCCGGGCGGGAGGAGGCTCAGCTGCGGCTCGGCGTCCCGGGGGCTGCCGGTGCCACATTCCCCCAGGCACAGCAGCCGGGGCTCGGGGACCCCGGTGGCCTCCTCTGCTCGGTCTGGGGCTGGCAGGAGCAGCTCCCGGTGTGCATCTGTCCAGGGGAAGGTCCTGGAATATCTCTGCTGCGACTGAATTGATACAGAGATTCATTTCCATTTTCCCCAAGCCCTTCAAATCTGGCAGTATGTAGCAGAGTCTGGCTGTTCTTTTTGCTGATGCTCTTGGTTTTGGCTATGAAATACAGAGTAGCTTTTTGATGACCTGTGACTGTACCAGGTGGCCAGGAAGATAAATAACTTCTGAGAAGACCTTGGCCCAGGTGAGGACAAACTGGGCAAAATTTTTTTTTTAGTTGTACAGGTTGCTGCTTTTCTGCATTCACATGTCACTGGTATAATTTTACTCTTCTCAAGGAGACTGTTGTCTACTTGGATGCATTCTAAAGTATTGTGTATGTTTGGCTCTGCAGGCTTTTAATTTTTTGTTTGTTTTCCTTTACAACCTGAGAAAGTGCTGGAATTGGCATATGTGCCCAGCCTGGTAAACAGATGTTGATAAAATGGTCTCCTTTGAGATATCCTAATGAGAACATCAGCTGAACTAGAAGAGCCATATAAAAATAGTTGGGGTGCCATTTCATCTGTGTGTCTTTATACAAGAAAATGTCTTAAATTACTCTTTGCATCAGGTAACTGAAGTATTTGCACTGCTTTTATGGGAGTAATACCATCTCTTGCCTGTGGAATTACTGAAGAATGACACCTTGGAAGAAGCATGTGGTACTTAACTGGGAGAGTTAATAAGTTGGTGTGATGCTGGTGGGCTCTGTAACCTGTATGGGTGCTTTTGAGGATGGATGTATGGATTGTGGGCTTGGGAGAGAGAACCCCCAAAGGCATTCCTCAGCTGCTAATGGATGAATCCAGCAGGGAGTGAAGGTGCACAAAGGCTTGGAGGGATAGGAAAGGGTAACAGCAGGATCAATGCTCTGCATTTTGCTTTTATCTCTAGAGAGCAGGGTGATCATCACTGTGGAGAAACGCTGGGTGTTGTTCCTATTGCAAGTTGGCTTGGTATGGAAGGGATAAGTCTTCATTTCTGCTGGTCTGGCTGAGTTCATTTGGAAGAATTCTTAGTGATGAAGTTTGTACTGTAGAATTGTGGTCCCTGTGTCGGTAGAAGAATCACAGCTTGCTTAGACCTTTATCTGGTAGTCCAAATCACATAAAAAACCTTAATATTCTCTGCTGCACCTTCATTTTCAGTGCTAAATCTTTGGATTGTAGTCTCAGAAAAAAGATGATCTGTTGGGTTTTGGCTAAAATGATGATCTACCAGTTGATTTATTCAGGGTTTTGGGGAACGTTTTTTTAGAGTTTCTTTTTCCTTTTTTTTTTTTTTTTTTTAAGACTTAAAAAACTTCGTTCTTACCTGTAATGATTTTTTGTTTGTTTTGTGTGGATTCCTATTTGTTAGTTTCTTACAGGTTTCATCTTTCAGTGATGAACTAAAAAGCTCATGTAATCTAACCGCATTTCCAGATGTGGGGAAATCAAAAATACATGTTTGCAGTAATTCTTTGCTACAAACACGTGTATTTATTTTGTAAATGCTTCTTGTATTTTAAAACACATGAGGTGAAAGCAATACTTCACAGGAGCTGCTGTGAATTGGCATGAAATAGATTACTTTTGAAAAAAAAAGTGAGCTTTATTGCTGGGTTTTTGTTTTGTTTTGTTTTTTTTAAATGAAGTCTGTGGCACTTCAGTTTTCAAAACTGAATCAATCTGCCAAGAAATGCATGCTCTGATTTATATACCTTTGATTTAGTTAGGCTCAGTTAATAAACAGTGCCTGGTAATCTTCCCTGATCTCATCCTGCTTTAATTTTTAATTTACCCTTGAAAAGACACTGCTCACTTTAATCTGTAACAACCACCTCCCCTCCCCACAGTAGAACGACTGAATAATAATATTGTGAAAACAAAGATCTAAGTGCAGCTCTCGGATATCTGACACGTTAAAAACATCAATTGAATTGATCTGAAATTAGGTGGAAAAACATACAGGTAGTTTTTCAGGTAATTTTGAATCATCAAATGATTGATTCCGTGAGTGGTTTTCCATGATTCAGGTGCTGAGCAATGTGGCAATACTTTGAGGCTTTTGAAAACTGCAAAACAGTTTTTGATCCTCACAGGTAGAAATGGCAGAGGAAATTGCATTGCTGTGTTAAGAGTTACATTATTTGGTTTTTAGGAATTGGCTCCATCCCACTATAGTTTAGTGTCAGAATGTTTGCTGGGTATTTTCATTCTTGTTTTTAAGTGCAATTGTTTTCTTTACAGAAGACAATAATACTACAAGATATAAGACATTTTTTCCCTAGTCTTTTAGTGGGTGTAATTTTTGAATTATTCAATTTTCACAGAAAAGTTGGGTTGGAAAAGACCTCTGAAGTCATTGAATCCAATCTATGATGCAACATCACCGTGGCACTGAGTGCCACATCCAGGCTTTCCTTAAACACCTGCAGGGATGGTGACTCCACCGGGTCCCTGAGCAGCCCATTGCAATGTTCAATCAGCCTTGTTGTGCCTAAACCTCCCCTGGTGCAGCCTGGGACTGTCCCTTTGTCCTGCCACTGCTTTCTTGGGAGAACAGGCCAATCCTCACCTGGATACAACCTCCTGTCAGGGAGTTCTCTTCACTCAGTAAAGGGACACAGCTAAAAGAATAGCCTGAACCTTCAGCAGCATTGAAATGCTCATAATGACCTTCATGAATAATTTGAAATTTTAACCAAAACTTGGATCTTGAAGGTTTTGCTTCACCTGGTTCATTAGAAAGGTCTGTGGAAACATTTCTTCAAAGCATTAGTGGAAGTAAATATCAGAGTAAGGTGTCGATTTTTGCTTTTCTTGTCAGGAGCTATAAAACTATATATGTAAAAATTTCAAAGTTATAGACTTATTGTATTTTTTCAGGTGAGTAACATCTCTTCCATAGAAAGTGATTGGTAATTTAAATTATAACCTTTCCTGGTGATATTTCTGGGTTTCATAAACCATTACCTGAAATCTTCAGTTACTGAAAAGCCAACTTAGAGTTTCAATTTAGAAGTGCTTCTGTATACGTGAATATCACATTAATTACCTAAATAAATTTCTGTCTGCCTTTCTTTTTGTAGAAGTTGATGAAAAGATAATGCTTCTCAGTTAATTTTAAATCATTTAAAGGAAGTTTTATTTAAACAAGACTGAAAGTGGATGAATCCTTTTCTTCCTTCCATCTCTTCCTGCTATCATCACAACTTGGGTTTTAGAAATTAAAAAATGTTGTCTAAAGGGCTTTGGCAGGGAATGTTTTGCTTATCTCAGTGGTCTTCAGTCCAGCTGGTAATTAGCACTTCTCTTAGTGACTGAAACATAATTTTAACAAGATTTGGCTCTTCCTTTTCAGCACTGTCTGTTGACAGAGCGTGGGTGTTGCAAGCAAGTAACCTGAGTTGATTTGAGCCTTGCATCTCAAAATTCAATTCAAAATCATCCTGCCTCATCTGAGGGGCCTTTTGCATGCTTGTTGAAATTTATCTGTTCACTCTTACTGTGATACTGTTGTGACTGGGTTTGTGCATCTGCAGTTTTATCAGGGATGATTCATAGGCCAAAATGGTGTTAGTCCATTTAGTGCTTCATTCCTTTCCCCTTTCAAAGGGAAAATAATGGGGAAAAAGCTATTCTAACTGATAGATAATAGCTTCTCTTTTATTGTTTGGCAATGTGTGGTTTTATTTTCTTCTTGTTTTTAATCTTGAAATTTGACCTGACAAAAGAAAGGTAACAAGAATCCAAATAGTGTCAGGACTTGGCAGGGGGATTTGCCATGTATGAGGAAAAAATGACCTGGAGTAGAGCACACTGCAAGTGCACAACTGCAGACCTTCAAAGCTGGAGATTAAATCTGTGTGGGCTTTCTGCAGGTAAAATAGTTAACTTGAGAACCTAACTTCCAAACTTTGTTTGTTCCCTATGGTCTACACATCTAATGGGGCTCTGTTTATCCCTTCCAAAGCCAAGTCTATACCCACAGATTTGGCTAAAGCCTTCTCATTTGTAAGTTCAGATGCCGAAAACTTTCACTTTTTAAGGATGGAGAGGTACTGGTGGAATTCTTGACGACCATGTTGAGGCAGATATAATTTCAAAACTAATTTTTAGTTTTGAATTTCAGCAGAGCAAGGAGCGGCTGTTAGGATACTTTTGATCCCATAGGAGGAATGGTGATATTCCTGGGTTAGGACAGGTAACCCTTTGTGACACACGAGGAGAGGGGCCCAGACAGAAAACTATTTGTTGCTTGGTGTTGTTTTGATAATTCCACCACCAAGTCCCCTTTCCCTGTCTCCCTGTCTTTTGGGTATGGATATAGCTGGTCACACTTTAAAAATTAGATTTCATTGTTCTAAAGCAGGACTTGGGTTAAATCCAGTACGACACACACCCTCACCCACAGTGTTCTGA